ATTGTGATTATTTATAGCACAAATAATTAAAATAAAACTTAGAGCAAAATAAAGTGAAAATTGAAGGCTCAATTTGGAAGGATACAAATATAAATATGTAGAGTGTAAAACCTTGTATTTTGTATTAATTTGCATGTATTTGTGATGTATATATTTGTATTTGTAATCTTTCTAAACTGAGGGAAAGTAAAAGTGGACCAAATTTGTATTTTTCTTATTTAAACTTGCATGGGTTTATACTAATGCAAATTAAATTGCAGTGAAAACAAACAGATTGGTGAAAAAGTTGGAGGTATGGATGTCAACAGGTCATATTCCGTACCAGTTTGCCTCAGCCCTAACCCAACCCTCTAATGTTTTTCACCTAAACATGACCCAACCTAACTTAGAAGCATTCCATTTCCGAACCCATCCTAAATCCTTTTGGCTGCATTTGTTTGAGGTGTAAATTCAAATTTTACACCATGGAAAAAATTGAACCGATTTAATGATCAATGGGAATTAAAACTGGTTGATTTTTGAAAATTTACACCTACCTTGTTTGGTTGTCAAGGTGTAAATTCTGTGAAAATTTACACAAAGGAGAGAAGCAGAGGAAGAAGAAGAAGAAGAAGAAAAAGAAGAGGAGGGAAGCAAAGGAAGAAGAAGAAGAAGAAGAAGGAGGAGAAGAGAGACAGATGGGAGGTGGATTCAGATCTGCTGCTGCAATGTTGCAGCGGTGACAGAATAGAGGAAGAAAAAAGGGGGGAAGAAGAAGAAGAAGAGAGGAGGAGAGAGAGAGAGAGAGCAAAAGAGAAAAATGCCGATGCTACTGCCGCTGCATTGCAGCGGCGGTGACAGAATAGAGAAAGAAAAAAAGGGGGAAGAAGAAGAGAGAAGGAAAGAGAGAGAGATGCTGGTGCCACTGCTGCCCTGGTTTCAGATCTGCCACTACAACAGTGATGGAATAGTGAAAGAAAAAAACGGGGAAGAAGAAGAAGAAGAGAGGAGGGAGAGAGAGAGAGAACAAGAGAGAAAAATCGTCTATCGCTGCCACTGCCGCCTTAGGTTCCAATCTACAAAGAGAGAAGGAGAAGAGAGAGAGAGAGAGAGAGAGAGAGAGAGAGAGGAAGAAAGAGACGTTGTAAAACTACACTGATAATTTCGATACATATTTTACACCGATTATCGTTGTAAAAAAATTTCAAAAATCAGTTTTACACCGATTTATGGTGTAAACCCCAAACAAACATGGCCTTTAGGGTAGAACTTGATGCTGGTTCGACTCAGCATGCAGCCATTCAATTTTATTTCTTATGAAGACATAAAATCCATTAATTTAGGAATTTTGGATTATAGGCCCTAAGGTGTCACTTCCTCCATTAGTGAAAGAAAAAATAAATGAATAAATATGAAAAGAAATTATAAGAATACCTACCTATAGGACTAGCCAACCAAACCCAAACCCAACTTAAGTTAAGGAATCAAAACCGAAAACCCTAACCCAACCAAATAGGATTGGATCAAGATAGGCTTATTGTTTAACCCGACCCATTGGCATCCCTAGTTGGAGGTTAAGGTAAGAAGTCCATTCATAAGGTTAATTACTAAATGAATCCCTAAGGCTGTGTTCGGTTGCAAAAATAAATTGGCACTGATGCAAAACTATGGCAGCACAAATGATTTGAGTATAAATTATGACCTATTATTGTTTCAACTTTTAGCTTATTTTCTTTGATTGCAGTAGGAATGAAATAAAACAAAAACAAAATTAAATGAGAATTTTTCATTTTTTTTATTTGCAAATAAAATTGCACTGCAACCAAACAACGCGTTAAGAACTCTCCCTCAACATTCTTTTTCTTATTTTCTATCAATCTAAGACTGCATTTGGCATTCCTTATTTTAAGAACTTATCTCCTTTTTGTAGTTAAAATGCCCTTATGAACGGATGGAATGCCAAATGCAACGTAAACATAGCCCAAAAAGTAATACAAGGAAAAATACCTTGGACCATGTTGTAATTTAACCAAATAATATCCATCATATCATAATAGTTGTCACAGTTATGGGTCCTTTTCCCATATTATGACATTTTTAAGATAAGAAAATAATGAAACATATTCATTTTTACTATATATTATTATAAGGTGAAAAAATTATATATATAAATCCATTATTATTTATAATGTTAATATAACCTTGTATATAATATAAATGTGCCCTATAACCCTAGCCTCTCTCTCTCTCCATATGTGGGTTAGATAGAATCCTTCCTTTGGTCTTTGTTGATATATATACTATGAATCAATCAACTAATAGTGAAATGTATGTGAAAATTGAATTATAAACTCATTTTGTAGGTATTTGACATCGGTGCTGAGAATATTATATCGTTTTCTGAAAAAACGGTACAAGACATATATATATATATATATATATATATATATATAAAAAAAAAATGATGCTTATTTTTTATTCAGAACCACACATAGACTATTTTCTTAAAAAAATAATACTGATTTTATTTAATATCAGTGCTGACAATGTTTTCAACACCCACTTTATTACTGTTTACTTATACATTTAACTTTGCACACATGAATGTAACTTGCCTTCGCGCTTCGGCTTTACATCCGAACCACCATGCAAAAAATTTTAATTTATTTATTTTCATCTCTTTGCATTATATTATCACTCTCTCTTCTTTACTTTTCTCCACACATGCCACTCAATTAATAATGTGTTTATTCCACGTGTATCCTTGTCTATCTCAACTTTCTATTACACGCTATATACAACAGAACCATTTAAGCCCAACGCTGGTCCCGGGCTCTCCGGGTCTTGGATCTTGGCCTTGGGAGGGGTGGACTGTTTACAAACCCATTTTGGCACTTTTCTTGCATGGAAGTGGCCAGGAGTTGGATCCACATTCACACTCCTGCCAGCCCGAGGAGATTTCCCATCCCACCACCATACAATAACTGAATGGCCCCTCCTTAAACCAGTTCATCCAGGTTGACCCACGGCTGAACCAGTGTCATCCAACCCGAGGTCACAACCATTCCCGCCCTTTACTTATCCAGGCTGGCTTCGATAAGTACGCTTCATATTTGCCAACACTAGCAGGATTAAAAGCGGAGCAGCCAGGTAGTAATTTCTACAAAAGATAAAGTGGGGTCTGGCCAGCTGGGGTCCCACTCAAAAGAGCTGTTCCGTAGTGGGCCCTACTTGCATACTTGGTAATCCAAAGTCCAAAAAAACCCAAACTAGTAATCTTGTCCAATAATGTGATGTCACCCCGACCTTTAAGGCTCAGTTTGGAAAGAGTATAAATACAGATCTGTAAAATGTAAAATCTTATATTTTATATGTATTTATACTGTATATATTTGTATCTGTATTTATTCCAAATTGAACCTAAGACTCAATTTAGAAGGAGTATAAATATAAATATATAATGTAAAGTCTTGTATTTTATATGTATTGATTTGTATTTATACTTTTTCCAAACTGAGCCTAAAAAGCAAATGGGCTGACCGGTTTGCAACTTGGGTCAATTCCATCAGAATTTCACCACTGACAAGAAAAAAAAATCTCGAAACATTTCAAGTTTGAATCTCGTTTTTTCTGGGTTGGTTTGGAAGGTCATGATCATTTCAAGAGGTTGGTTCCGATGTAGATCTTCTTGTAGGGCCCTCCAAATTGTCAAATTGTGGTTTCTGACTCCCTTTGCAAGTACTGAAGTACACGTTATTAGGTTTATATTTACCCTACTAGAACAAATATATATATATAAACCCTCTCCCTCCCTCTTATGTGAAAGAGTTTATCCTTTTAAACAAACAAACTGTTTGTTAAATTGTTCCAGAGAATTTTACTCGTGTCTCCATGAAGTCAAATCAACTATCAATATACAGAACATGGAGGGAGACACATGGAGCAAACAAGCTTTCTTTCATAAGAGGGCGTAACTAATCAAAATAATGAAACAAGACAAATGTAAGTGTGTTTTAATGAGGTAGCTCAGTGGTTTATTAGTAGTTTTGGATTTGATCGTAGGTCTGGCACTGGCATTCGATCCCTGTAGAGCGGCTCAGTTGGTTTACGATTAATTACCGATCTGATGTTCATTTGAGACAGTCCATGTACAGTCAACAGCTGTTGATCTTCGCCGAGCCAACTCGAGCCAAGCGGAGCGTTGGACGAGTCAGGGTGAGCTGTCGGGAAATAGTGGGTCGCCTGGTCATCATTTTCTCGCTCATGGGACTGTAGATAGCTGGCGGCCTGGCGCTCTCCGTTCAACATCCCGTCAACCCTGGTTAACTTACACGGACGGAATATTCTTTGGAGCCACGGAATATTCGAGCTCTCAAGACGGAAGCCGTTAACTCCTCCTTTGCACGCTTAGCTGGAGGCCGCTGAATCGCTTAGGGTTCTCTGAAGGCGCCAGCTGGCACGGCACACTGCACATGGCCAGCTGCCCCTGTCGAGAGCGAGACGTGGTTTCCAAAAATACCCTTAAAATCTCCATTCAATTTTCACTGCCCTCCAGATTGTCAACCCTCCTCATTTTCTTTACTTCGTAGTTTTAGGTAGAAGATGAAGGAATTAATGTAACACTGAATAGGAAAATTAGGGTAATTTTGTAAACATACTGTAGAGTCTTTAACATCTTGCATTGGCTCTGGCTTGCGTAAGAAGAAAATTCTCGAAAGTACGGAATCAAAGGATGAATAGTAAGTAGGAAGGAGAGAGAGAATAAAATTAATTAATACGAGGGTGTTTACACCCCAACGCTAATAATAGTTTGGGTCTAACGTTAGCCCCGAGGCGAAGGAGGCTTATCGTGCGCACTCTCATCTCATCTCAGAAAAAATAAGAATAAAAATAATAAATGGAATTTATTATTGAAAATTAGGAAAGAACAGAAAATACAGCAAATAAAGAAATTTTTTTTTGGTAATAAAACAGAGGAAATTGGATTACGAGACAGGAGAGGGAGAGATAACGAAAGAAGAGAGATGAGAAGAAAAATAATAAAGAAAGAAAGAGAGAGAGGAAGAGTAGTGGTAGTAGAGAGAGAAGAGGGACGGAGAGGTGTCTCGTGAAGCAGCAGGTGAAGGGAAAGAAAGAAAAGTGAAAGAGGAACAAATAGAAAGAAAAGCTCTTCTCTTCCCTTCTCCTCTTTCTCGCTCTCTTTGTTCTCTTTGGTCTTTCTAACACCCCCTCCTCTGTTTCTCTCTCTCCAGCTATCTAGCTTTCAATTTCTCTTTCCTCTCTCTCTCTCTAAAATTTCCAACACTCGCATTCATTCCTTGCTTCCTCTTTTAAATCACGAGATCCCCATCTCTTTCTTTCTTTCAGTTGTTCTATATGTCTTCTCCAGGGTCTCTTTGGTTTCATTTTGTTGTTGCTGGTGGTATTGTAGTTGTAGCTACAGACATTGTTGAGAGAGAAGATTGAAGAGAATAATAAAAGCCCAGACAGAAAAATTAAGTATTTTTGGGTGATTCCACAAGAAATGTCGCATCCGGGAAAGCCCATTCCTGAAATAGGGTTTAATTCTCTGTCCGATCGGTTTCGCGACGCCTTGTGCTGCGAGTACAACAAGCCGGATTTCAAAGAGCTCGATCTGGGTTCACCGGTCTCGCCGTTGAGGACTCGTGGTCCAGGTGGTGGTGTTGGCGGTGGACCCGCTGCCAGTGGGATTACCACTACAAGCAGCAGTTCTAGTTCTTCTGGTTCGGTTTCTGGCAAGACTGGGAACAACCCAGTTGTTAAAAGATCCGATGGAGTTGGTAACAATCATTCTGGTGAGCTTTCAGGCTCGGGCGAGAGCAGCCCGACTGCCGCCGAGGGCGTCCGATCCGCCGCCGCGATTCGTAATAACAAGCCCGGCCATCGGAGATCGAATTCCGGTGGTGTTCCATTAATCTATTCAGGTGGAAGCGTCACCAGTAGCAACAGTGGAGGTTCGGTTAATTCGCCGACTATGAATGTTCTCCCTAGTGGGAACATTTGCCCGTCTGGGAGGATTTTGAAGACGGGCATGGCTTGTCGGAGCTCTTCTCGCAGTGACGTTTTGGGTTCGGGGACGGGCAATTATGGGCACGGGAGTATAATGCGGGGCGTCGGTGGGGGGAAATTAGGCTCAGGCAGCGGTGGGGAAGCTAGTGGAGGGAATGTGACTGGGAACATACAATTTGCGGGGGAATCAATGATGGTGAAACGGGCCATGGCGAGTTCGGATCCAGAGGAGGTGAAAAGGGCTGGCAATGAGCAATATAAAAGGGGAAATTTTGCAGAAGCTCTTTGTTTGTATGATCGAGCCATTGCAATGTCGCCGGACAATGCAGCCTGTCGGAGCAACAGAGCAGCGGCATTGACAGGACTTGGTAGGTTGACCGAAGCCGTAAGGGAATGTGAGGAGGCGGTGAGGTTGGATCCTTGTTATTGGAGGGCGCATCAGCGATTGGCATCTCTCTATCTGCGGTGAGTGAGGCGGATATTTTGCTGCATTTTCTTTTTTTCTTTTTCTTAATTTCGGTCGCCTCTGTAAATGTTACATTTCATTCTACTGTCATGTTTTCCGTGGTTGAATGTGACTTTGCGAGTGGTTTGTGTTCTTGTTTTCAAGTAGAGGAATGTGTGTTCGGTGTTGTGATCTATGTTCTGTTTATGCTATGTTTCTCATTGGCTTTGGTGTTGATGGTGGTGCGTTTGTGCGTGGTCAGATCTGTGCTCTGTGTGCAATTTTTCGTTGCTCCCTTGCCTTTTTTTGTTTGTTCTTGTTGTTGTCTCTCTCGTGTACTGCTTCGCGGTTCTTTGTTGGTGATCAAAGTTTCTCTTTTCTCTTTTCTTCCCATTTTCTTTTCATTTTCATGGATCGTTGGAAACTTTTTCACTTTCATGTACGTGGGTGTTGGAGTAGCTATGACTCCTGAGCTTTTATTGGTCCGTTTGGTGATTGAGTTGCTTAGACTAAGCCGAGTCCTCATTGTTTTGTCCAGTCAAATGGTTCTTCTTGCTTCAGTTTAGACTATAAATCATTGACTGTTTCTTCTCATTAAAACCATATTGTTTAATAGAAATCTTTGGTTGGTTGTTGTTGAACTTTTGGGTATTCCTTGTTCATGGGTTCTTGTGTCTTTATCTTTTTGATGGTTTTAGAATCGTGGGTTCTATCAAAAATTTCAGTGGTTGCTGGATTTGATTTATATATGTGGTTTATCTTCTGGCACATTGAATCATTTAGAAGCCTGTCCCCTTTCTTTTGCTTTTTTTTCCTGATCTAGGTTCAAGAAATTACCATTGATTTTCCACACTTTCCTTTTAAATGCCATTTAGCAATCAGAGTTGATAGGGGTTGGGTGACGTTTTCTCAACCTGATTTTTATACAGATTAGGCCAGGTTGAAATTGCACGGAAACATCTATATTTCCTTGGACAGCAACCAGATCCTACTGAGTTGCAAAAGTTGCAGGCTGTGGAGAGGCATCTGAGCAGATGTGTTGATGCCAGGAAGGTTGGTGATTGGAAAAGTGCATTAAGGGAAGGCGATGCGGCCATTGCTGCTGGAGCAGAGTCTTCTCCTCAGGTAAAATCTTTTGTTTGTTAGTGCTATTGTTTCAAATAAGAAAATTTGGATGGCCTGAAATTGGTTGAAATGGATTTTACAGCTTTTTGCATGCAGAGCAGAGGCCCTTTTGAAGCTCCAGCAACTTGAGGACGCAGACTCTGGACTATCTAAAATACCTAAATTTGAAGTGTCTACACCCTCTTGTTCACAGACCAAATTCTTTGGGATGCTTGCAGAATCTTATGTCTTCTTTGTCCGAGCCCAAGTTGATATGGCATTGGGAAGGTGAGCTCAGATATATAAAGTTCCACGAGAGAAATAGCTAAAGGGTCTTGGGGTGAGTGAGAATCGATGATCGATGTCTTGCAGGTTTGAGAATGCAGTTGCAGCTGCTGAGAAAGCTGGACAGATTGATCCCCGCAACATTGAAATCACAGTGATGCTGAACAATGTGAGAATGGTGGCAAGGGCTCGTGGCCGTGGTAATGATCTCTTCAATTCTGGCAAGTTTGCTGAAGCATGCTCGGCTTATGGGGAGGGCCTCAAGTTTGATCCGTCCAACCCAGTTCTCTATTGCAATAGAGCAGCTTGTTGGTCTAAGCTTGGACAGTGGGAGCAATCTGTTGCAGACTGCAACAATGCTCTGAGGATCCAACCGAATTACACCAAGGCCCTTCTTCGACGGGCTGCCTCAAATTGCAAGGTGAATTGAATTTATATCTTCTTACACTTTTTTTTTTAAATTTACAGCTTTTTTTGTGGCAAAAACTCCTTGAGTATGATTAATTGATTATTGTTATTTGGGGGAATTATTATAGCTTGAAAATTGGGCTGAATCTGTAAGAGATTATGAGGTCTTGAGAAAGGAACTTCCAGCGGATAATGAGATTGCAGAGGCTCTATTCCATGCCCAAGTTGCATTGAAGAAATCTCGAGGGGAGGATGTTTATAACATGAAATTTGGTGGTGAAGTAGAGGAAGTCTCAGGTCTTGATCAGTTCAAAGCAGCCATATCTTCACCTGGTGAGCTCTCTCTGCTTTTCTTGCATATGTGGGCCTATTGCTAAATTCTCGTTCCATTTTCACTTATCTGTTCCTTAAGTTACTTGTTCATTGTGAGATTAAACTTGAAATACCAGGTGTTTCAGTAGTTCACTTCAAGGCAGCCTTGAACCAGCAATGTGAGCAGATATCTCCTTTTGTTGACACTTTATGCCTTAGGTATCCATCAGTGAATTTTCTCAAGGTAGGCCTTAAACAATTGTTGGTCACCCTAGTTTACATAACTGTTTGAATCTTTTAATCTGATATCTGCATTCCAAGTATTTTTCTTTGATGCCCTTTGTATGTTGTTTCAATGAAGGTGGACGTGGAAGAGAGTCCAGCAGTAGCCAAGGCTGAGAGTGTGAGGATTGTTCCAACATTCAAGATATATAAGAACGGTAGTAGAGTAAAAGAAATGATCTGCCCAAGCCATCAAGTTTTGGAGTATTCGGTGAGGCATTACAGCCTCTAGAACAAGCAAAGAGCTCCCATTTTTTTCCTTTTTTTCCTTTTTTCCTCTTGCAAACCCACAATTCCTGATCCAATGGGTGCTCCTGCTCCCACAGTGCCCTTTATCCTTCCCAATTCATACAAGGATTAGTCGTCTACTTTGGCGAAAACCAGCTACATAATAATTTGATAGAGCCAAGGCCAAAAGAACCCAGAGAGAGAGAGCTTAGTTATCTTTTGCAGTTTATAATTATTCTTTCCATTTTCATTGCTCCCTCTGTTTTTTTTTTGTCATCTTCCGTCCATCATCCTTTTTTTTATCAATTTTTTCCCTTGTTTAGGCCAGCCTTATTCTTGTATCTTCCCCTTCTTCACCATTAGAAGAAGATGAGAAAAAAATGTATAATTAAACTGGCTCTTTAAGTTGAATTTGAGAGATAGAAAGAGAGTTGGCTGGTAGAAGATATTGTGTACATGTATATATAAGATACATACCAAATATCGGAAGCCATGGGAGAGATTGGATGTCTGGTGGGTTCTATTGGGTTAGTGAGAGGAGGATGATCATGATAATGCCATTGATGTTGTTGCTTCTGCTCGACCAATTTCATGAATAAAAATCTCAAAATTTTTCTTTCCATGCTCATACTTATTATCTTTTTAGTTTTGTTTCTTTGGTTTTTATTATTTTTTTGGTCTATGTGCTCCTGGCACAACCATTACACTGGCAAAAGTTGTGTCTGGGTTTCAACTTTCAGAGGCATTGAAATCATTCCATTTGAATATGCTCAATTGGGCCAGGCTGCTACCTGCTAGGCAAGGTAGATCTTAGAATGAAGGGTAGTTTTGGCATTTAATAACTAATAGGGGAATCCTGATTGCTGAACTGTTAAACTATAGCACTGATCTCCGACAGGAGGTGGGGTGAGGGAAAGAATTGGGAGCCGGTACATGTTACTTTAAGTAGAGAGGTTGGCTTTTTTTGGGTAAAAAAGAGGTAGTTGTAAGGCATTGAATTCTAAGGGTCTGTTTGGTTTGCAGTTGGAATCAAAATTGAAATTAAAATCCTTCGGAATTAGAATGCGAATGGTGAAATCCTAGTCTGTTTTGGTTTAGACAGGCATAAGAATAGGAATTAGAATCAAAAAACTTTGGAATCGGAATAGTCAATTCCAATTCCGATTCCAGACCCTATTCCTGCGAACCAAACAGGGTTTAAGAATTTGAGGGCTAATCAAACGGGGCAATTTGAGAGTAGGGACTGGAGAATGCTGTTTATTTGGGCATTGTGCAAGGACTGTGTAGAAGAGGCAAGTATTTTGTACTCGACAGTCGACACTTGGGACTTGGAGTGGAGTGGGGAGAGAGCTGACGCCTGAGCAATGGAAGGAAGAAAGGCAGGAAAAACTCCATAAAATAGAAAAGAAAAAGAGCGGTGGTCCACTGTAGGTCCCAGAGCACCGGCTGAAGGCTGATTTCACATCCAAACTTCAACGGTTGGCTTTCATACGCAAGTACGTGGTGGGGTAGTGTGGTGCCAACCCAAAACTGACCGTGGCTGGTGCCAACGTTTCAATTTTCATCGTCTTTGTTCCGTTTTGTTTTTCTACTTGCTTTTCCATTCATATATGTACTGTTCGGCCCAAACTCAAATAGCTCAACTCATCGCAACGTCCCACTTTTAGCCTGCGGTACGGTTCGTAGAGAATGAGAGGAGAGGAGGAACCCCCGGCCCCACCTCCTTGAACTGATTAGTTTGATCTTATCGTACGGCCACGTGTGTCAATTTTGACCGTCAAATCGGTGAAACAGATATTTGACCATTGAAGATTGGTCATTGAATTAAAGTCCAGCACTCGAACAAATTGATTACCAATTCTCTCCCAATCCCCATACAAAAAGTGAATAGGTGTGTTGGCCGACCAAATGAAGGGTGCAGATGATTTGCCATGGGTGGAGTGGAGGGCTAGGATATGACCGGAACTAAGCTTTTCTTTTTTTTTTTTTTTCTGAGAGGTGCGGAGGAGACACTGACGTAATGATAATAATAAAAAAAGTAAAGAGAGAGAGAGAGAGAGGGAGGGGGACTGGGTAAAAAGCAATAATGGAATAAGTCGGACAGTACAGGGTGTTAGGGTACCAAACCTAGGGTGTGCATATATATGGGAAGGGCCAGGGGAATCAGATCACCATCATCAGACCCTCTCTCTTCTTCTCTTTAAAAGAATAGCCATTGTGTTGGATTGAAAGCCAGACAGCCTCCTCCAGAGAGAGAGAGAGAGAGAGAGAGAGAGAGAGAGAGAGGGGGGGGGGGGGAGAAAGAAATCTTTTTGATCCGCACCGTTTTAGGCTTTTAGCTGCATTGTTGATGATGGCTTTTGTCTGTCACTCCTTTGTCATCTTTTATACTCACCATCTCCATGTACTGTTTAAGCTTGAAACAGCGAACAAACGTGGCAGCCATATATCCCCCACACCTCGGTACACAGACCACGTCACCCTTCGCACTCAACACGTGGTGATTCAAGATTCTCTCTTAAGATCTACGAACGAGAGGCATGCCACGCGTTCAATTTACGTCACTACTTGGAAAACCGAAATACATAAACAGTCGCTAATTTGTATCGTTCCTCTCCCGGACCGAAGGCCCATACAGGCTTCCTGTTCCAGCTTGAGAGTTGAGAGTTGAGACCTCAATTGGAAATGACTTTGGGTGAGAGACTGAAAGAGCCTCGGACAGAATGGGACCCATTTTTGTCTTATAATGCCCTAAACCCCTCTCACCCCCGACTCGTGTACCACAACCGTTTCGTCCTCTATTTCACACTGATTCCTTGTTTTCATTCTTACGACTGCGTTTGGATCACGACGGAATCGAAATTCTGTCGTCTTCTTATAGAGTTCGGCAACGGCAAAGCTGGAATTTTTTGGCCTTAGAAATACGCGTTGTATTATATATAGAAGGAAGAAAAAAAAATGATTAGGGAGTTGTCGGAATTCCAGGTTAGACGTCACAGCGGAGCTCAATTCCAATTTCTCTCCTGTGCTCAAAATCCAGACATAGTTGGCAATTTGGCATTAGCAGAGGTATGGATCGGAATTCACCTCGGTGGCTGCACCCTGAAGATTAGCTGGGGAAAAGAGTGGGACTTGTTTGCTATGTGATTGGTCAACATCACTCGAATCCTCTGCAGAACCAGAGGATGTTACCTCAATCATAATATGCCATGTCACCCTGACATGTGGAAGCCACATGTAAGGGAGATGACGTGGTGCATTGTAACTGCTTCAGGCCCAGCATTATGAGTAGAATTGCAGAGCATTTGAAGTTCTGAACTCGGATGGGCCACACCACATGGTTGATTTCCTATCCTCCTATGCCACTCCTGAGCTCCGCTTCCCTTAATAGTCAAACCAACTTCAATCTCAAGCGGAGCTTATAATTAGTCTAGGCTCTGTTTGGATAAGTTGTTGCTTTTGAGTTTTTACTATAGAAAATAAAAAATGAACCAAAAAGTATTTTGAATATTTAGCTAAGAGTTGCTTTCAAGAACATAACAATAAAGCAAATGCACTGTTGATCCCTTAAGCACAAAGCCTGAGGCTTTGTTAAGGTTTGTGCTTTGGCTTTAAAAGCACAACTCCTAAATCTTAGCCAAATGCAACCTTATTCATTGAACAATAAGATAGAGGAATAACCTTATTCATTCAATTCAGTCACTTCAGCTGTTACCAAATGGCCCCCTAAACTATCATTATCAAAAGAAGAAAGGGAAGATAAGAAGAGAGATGTGAGTTCTAAGGTTTAACATGTTCAATAGGTAAACTGAGAGGTTGGCCCTCCATGTGTTTGATGTTGGAGCATTCGCAACTTCTACAACCACTAGTTGGTTGTAGAGTTAACAAAAATGTCCAGGCAACCATTTCTACGACAAAAACTGTTGATTTGATCATTTGTTTTCTGCATGGTTTTCAAAATAAGATTAGACCGGACGATCGGATTGGAAAACTGAAAATCGATCTGACCGATTCTGTTTTTTCCCAAAATCGAATTTTTGTCAAAAAAAAGTTTGGCTTGCTGGAAAGTCGAACTATCAACATAGACAATAATTTTTTATTGTTTTTTATTTTAATTATCATTTGTAAATCAAAACAGACCATCCGTTCCAACAGGGCGAAAGCAGTTCCGATTCCTAATCGGTTTTCAAAACACTGCTTTAAACATTGAAATGCCAACAACATCCAACCCAAATGGAAATGGTTAGACTTTATTCTGGTTAAGCTTTCCTGTCTCAGACTCTCTTAAGACATGTAGAGGAATGAGTGGTCAGTCTAAATTGCCCATCATGCAAGGAATTCAGCTCACATCTTCTGCCATTCACCATGGTCGCAGCATTTTTCTTGTGACGGCCAATGACATATCTGACACGATCCTGTTTGTATTAAATTCAAAGCGCCAGTCGATATGCTTTTTTTTTAGCTGGGTGTCAGTGTGCCTGTGTTTTATTAGGCAGTCACAAGAAAATCCTGCAACCATGTTTGCAGCAGTTGCGAACTCCAAGGAGACCTATTTGTTGACCTGACCACTCTTAGTTATATTATCTGCCCTGCATTGAATATTTTCCTTGTAAAAGCCAACGAAGAAGGTTTGTTTTAGCCATATGGGCAATCTATTCTTTTATATATTAAATTGGAATGTGTCAAGCTGCTAATTTCCTGATTTTTGGATTTTTGTTAAAGGTATTTATTTTTTCTGTTTTTTTTAATTATAATATTGAATAAAACAATTCAACTGGCCAATCACTTGTAGAACTTTTAACTCTGCTTATTAAGTCACCATTAACTATCTTTCTTCTTTCTCATTAACTCTTTAAATTATATCTCCTTATTAATTATGCTATTAACTCTTTACTTTAATAATTCATGCGATTAATTCTCACTCCTCTCCATTATTCCATTAAATTAATTATAATTCAATAACTTTATATATATATATATATATATATATATATATATATATCCATTTCAATTGATATATGATTTTATATACATTAGATATATTTATATTATATTGTAATTATTAATAAAGATTAATTATATTGAAATGAAGATATTCAATGATATAGTATTAAGGAAAATAATCTACTTCCACTTAAAGGATAGTTAATTTCAAATTAATTAATCAAGTAATTTACATTTTAGAATAAATATTATTTACTTCACCCAACAAATAAAATTGGTGTTTTAAAAACTGGCTTGGAGGCTGAATAGTTTTTGCGTCTAAGTCACAAAATCATTTTTTTTCTTTTTTTTTTTTTATAGCGGGGTTATAAAGGTTGCAAAAAGTTATCCAAAAAAAAAAATCATCCCCAATTAAATAATTAAGCACAAAATTAAATCCTCTAGAAGTTTTTAGTTATGGATGCAAATGGATCGGATCAAATTCGAATCCGGTCAGATCTGACCCAATCTAACTTGTTTTCTTTAAAAATTAATAAATCATTAAAAGAAAATTAAAATATACCAATTTAAATATAGGAAAAACAAAAAATATAAATATTTTTTAATTATTTGTATCATATATATACGTGTCTTTTATAAAATAAATAAATAATATATTTATACATCACACACACACACACAC